TGACAAAAATTCCTGGAATTAAGTTTAATGTTAGCTGATTTCTTTTCAATGATGAGTCAATGTAAATATCACAGTTCTATTGAAAGTCAACCTTAGTCTGAATAGTCTGGTAGTAACGTTTCTGTTAGCGGATAATCCCAGACCGCCCATCAACAGGAGGTAATCTTCCCCTTGACATCCTGCTTGATACCTTCAACTTACCAGCACCCCCACTACGAGAAGAAGCTCAACAACAAGCTGATCTCCGTTCCAGAAGGTGAACTTCTCCCTCTAGTTAGCGGGGCTGGGACGCATCAATAACTAGCTTACTGGTCTTTGGTCACCGAGTCTTTGTTCTCGTTCACAGATCAAGTGAACTCGCGATAGCTTCAAACCAAGCAGTTTCAAACTAAAAAAAACTAGCTTACAGATTCAGATTCATCGGAGAATAACAGTTCCTTTAGTAATTCAAGTACATCTTTCTGATAATTGAAACTACCACAAAACCTAACTCAATTTGGTTTCAATACAGACTGTCTCCAAATACCACGCATAAAGTCACTCAAATTTACTATGCACATTTTCACATTATTACAGTAATTGTGATATAATAATATACTACGAAACGACAATAAGTCATACATTGATATAAACAAAACATTTGAATCCATAACTTCAAACTATAAACACTTGGGATTTCAGATAAATATAGATTCTTTAAAGTGTTCATCTTTCTTAATCTTCAGTTAGTGCTCTCTCTCTCTCACACACACACACCCTCTCTCACACTCTCCCTCCCTGCTCCATTCTGCTTCATAGTCTAGAAGAACAATCGATTTATTTATTAAGGATAAACACTATTTCAATATTTTTAGACTTTATCATAGAAACATGAAGCAAAAAATACGCACGCACACACGCACGCACTCACGCATTCACACACACACACATATAGATTTTGACTTGGTTAAATTTCTAGGGTAAGTTAATGAATATTTTTTTGAAAGAAAAAAAACTGTTCTACCGTTTAAACGTTGTAAACAGATTAACTGACTGATTTATGATTAGAAAGTACATTTTTCCTTCATTTTACTTTACTCTCCCACCCACACCGTACCCCCACCACCACCAAAAAAAAGAAACAATAAATAAAAAATGATAATAATTTTTTTTCACTTCTGTTATCTAACTGATTTGGTTTTGTCATTAATTCATCTGTTGTAAGATAGTAACTCATTGATGACAATGGTGGACGGATGGCGCAACTTTGTGCATTGGTTGAAGTTACACATTAATACCGTTGGATGCCGGCTCAGTGATCTAATGGTTAAGCGCTCGAGAGCGAGACTGATAGGTCCTGGGCTCGTGTGACTCCAGGTGCGGGAGTGTGGATGCTTACTGCTGAGGAGTCCAATGCTAGAACGAAACATCCGTTCAGTGCTTCCAGGTTTTCCATGGTGGGCTAGGTTCAATTAGCCAAGGAATTCAACTATTAAAATGATTATTGATAAACTTGACATGATTAAAGGGTTGTTTTGTTCGAGTTTATAATGGTGAGAAGCCGTGACCAGTGGAGCTAATCTATGTCGGGTAGAAACAGGTGTCTACCTCAGTACAATGAAAGATGGTCGCGCAATTTCGTGGAATCGTTGAGGTTAGACATTAACACCATTGGACGCCGGCTCGGTGGTTCAGCAGGCTAGGCGTTCGCGCGTGAGACTGGAGGCCCTGGGTTCGAATCCCGCGAGCGGGGTCGTGGATACGCACTACTGAGGAGTACTACAGTAGAACGAAACGGTCATCCAGTGCCTCCAGGTTTCCAATGGTGATCTAACATCAATCGATTCATGATTTCAATCAAGAACATAACACTCTTCACAACCACTATACTTATCATTAATTATAGTTGGATGTATGAGCTTACTAATGACTGAAATCAGTAGTTTCAATTCACACCAGTAAATGCATTACATTATCATCAGTGTTATTTACTTTCAACAGGCTTATCTAGCTGACATTAATTCACAATGGAAACAATTTTTGAAATGAATGACTATTCTACCAGGATCATAAGACTAAATCTTGTCAAAATTGATTGATGGAAGTTGTCGATTTTTTAATCCCCAACTATATGGGTTATTTACTTAGTCATAATAAGTGATGATATATTCACTAGAAAGATTTCTTTCATTGTCGTTTGGTTCAACTCAATGATCATTCGAATTTCATAATTACCACGCTCAATTTGGCTATTCTCTCATTGGTTACTTTTTCTTTTAATTTGTATTAACATGGTGTTTTCCAAGGTCAGAGAGTTGTATCTGATCCTCTCCAACCTTAGTGAAGTATTGAAGAGAATAATGTTGAAACTATATGGTCACTTGACAATAGCAAATGAATTTTATCCTCCTACACCTTAGACAAACATATTGTGATATATTACTTAATCGATATTCCATGAAATGTAGTTGACAAGGTGTATTCCATGGAAATCAAACTTCATCTCAGCTAAGTATATCAAGCGTGAACAAGTTAAGTACATTATGTTAGACTAAGAAAAGTTTTATTCAGAGGCAATCATAAATGCCATTCATCATCCGTTTTTACAGTCACTAGGACTATAGTGAACGACAACATTGATTGGGAAAATCAATTTATTGTTTAATGCTAAATTATATAGTCCTTTCGTAAAATATGGAAATCAAACATTAAATACATGATTTGTATATCTTCCTTTACTTGTTCTTTTGATACATCTTGTTTCTTTCATTTCTGTTGTTAATACAATTGATCATTGTTTCCCTTCCTATTCTCTTCAAATCAATCTTCTTCTGGGAGGCTTTCCACTTCTGATTGATATTGTACATTACTTATATCTGTCAACATAAGTAGCATTCACTATAGAAGAAGTAACCTGTCAAATACAGATTATTCTATTCTATTTGACTTCCAATTCACTGGATTTTAATCAACTTAATGAATTATGTTTCAGCTTTCTATTGAACACTATTTCTGCATAACAATCAACGTCACACTATAACGTGGTTTCCAGTGATTAGTGATAAGTGAGTAGTAAGGAACATTATGTTGGTGTAGTACCAATGGTGTTAATGGAATTCTATCGACCAAACTATAGTACATGGCAACTAATCAAAGTGACTGTACCAAATGAATTTCAATTCACCCCACTGCACAAGCAAGTGGCTATTAGGACTCAGTAGCTGACTGGATAACGCGATAGCGTTTGAAGCGAATGGTCCTGAGTCCAAATCCCGTAGTGAACATCAACTCGTGGATGACGGTACATCCAGCTGATGAGTCCCAAATAGGGCGAAACGCGCGTCAACCTAGATTCCACTGCTAGCCACTATCCATCTTTACTTATAGTACGACAGTTAACTATGTATTATTGTCAACATAGGCACACTATACACTCTCTTTAATTTATATTCATACATACTTTGACATAAGCCAATATACAATCCAATGTCATATCAGTTAACTATGTTATTACGTAATCTATGTATAATTGGTATATGTCATCTATCCAAATCGATTAAATAATATTCTAGGTATCTGGGGTATATTAGTAAAGAAAGGTAAAGAGAGAGGGAGAGGTGGGTGGGTCGGGGGTGGTTGGTTGGTTGGAGGAAATCATATAGATTACGAATAGATAAAAGATAGACAACTTATAGAAAGAGAAATAGACATGAAATCAGTATTTGTTGATTGAATTCTAATATCTATCCTATTCATCTACGTCATATAGAAATGTATGAAATGGAATATCATGTCTAGTAATCTTAGTACGGTGTTCATTTGTTTGTTCAGATAAAGGTTGAAATGTTTGATCGATTGAAACGATTCTATAAATAGATTCTGTGCTAAATGCTTGAATTGAATTGAATGATAAGAATGGAGGGATGGGGAAAGAATGACACTCGTTTAGTTATATCTTGGTTCTTAATTACTATTTAGTAATTGTTGTTCTATTTATAAAAGCAAATATGATCTTTATAAACTTCTATAGATTCATGAAGGTAGTGATAGAATGATATTAGTAAAAATCATATGAACAGATGTTTTTAACAGATTGAAATCATGAGTCGATTGAAGTTAGATCACCTTGGAAAACCTGGAAGAAATGAACAGCCGTTTCGTCCTAGTACGGGACTCCTCAGCAGTGCGCATCCACGATTCCGCTCCTTGCGAGATCCAAACCCAGGACCTACCAGTCTCGCGCCAGGCGTTTTAACCAACTAGACCACTGAGCCGGCATCCAATGGTGTTAATGTTTGACTTCAACCAATCCACGAAGTTGCGCCACCGTACACCATTGTCTTCAGTGAGTTACTATCTCACAACAGACCAGGTTGAACTTCACTAGTCACTGCTTCTCACTAGAACCCTAGGAAACACCTCTTGAAGCCAGTCACTAATGGACATATGTTAATTCATATGAGAAGGGTGTTTTTTGTGAAGATTATAGTAATTTCAATATGTGACATCATGAGTTAATTGAAGCTAAACCGCCATGGAAAACCTAGAAGTATTGAACGGTTGTTTCGTTCTATTGTGGAACTCCTCAACAGTGCTTTAAATCTACAATACTGAATAAAGTCATTATTATTATTATTAATAATAATAATATACATTACAGTCAAGACATATGACTTTTAGTTAATGGTTTAAAGTTCGAAACCCTGTTCCATTTACTTCAGTTTAAATAGCTGATTATAAATATCATCATTTATCAGAATATAATGAACATTAACTTTATATATACCACATTTTAGAAAGAAAGAAAAACTCATTCAATATTCAATTATTTTTGACTTTTATTACACTTTTATAATAAAGTAAAACTTTGTTAAGTAAAAAAAGAAAAAAAAGAAAAAGAAGAGAAAAAAAGAGAGAAAAAGAAAGAAACAAACTGAAATGGTATAACATTTACTGTTTTTAGACTTAAATGTTTCTTTTTTTTCTCCTTTTTTTCTTTTTTTCTTTTTTTTTTAACCAAGATGAATGAAAGTATTAAAGTTAATTAATGAAAACTGGATGAGAGAGATAGAGGAGAGAGGAGAGGGAGAGAGAGAGAGAGAGAGAAAGAGGAAAAACACACAAAAAATGATCAATATTTAAGAACTTTTGTCAAACATTTGATCGATATAGTTTTACAGTATTTTAAGTGTCAATTTCATGTAAAATCATCAAAGAAGAAGAAAAAGAAGAAGAAGAAGAAGAAGAATCTATTTATAAAATTTTTGTGAATGAATTTGGAATTTAGCACTTTATTTAGTAGGAAGAAAATTTAGACAAGATTATTAGATAAAACGTGAGATTTTAAGATGATAACATTAAAGATTTATAAATTAGACGGATAGTTTCGAACGAGTTTTGTACTTTCACCTAGACGATTTCATTACAGAGATTTCATCATCATCATCATCATCATCATCATCATCATCATCATCATCATCATCATCATCATCATCATCATCATCATCATCATCATCATCATCATCATCATCATCATCATCATCATCATCATCATCATCATCATCATCATCATCATCATCATCATCATCATCATCATCATCATCATCATCATCATCATCATCATCATCATCATCATCATCATCATCATCATCATCATCATCATCATCATCATCATCATCATCATCATCATCATCATCATCATCATCATCATCATCATCATCATCATCATCATCATCATCATCATCATCATCATCATCATCATCATCATCATCATCATCATCATCATCATCATCATCATCATCATCATCATCATCATCATCATCATCATCATCATCATCATCATCATCATCATCATCATCATCATCATCATCATCATCATCATCATCATCATCATCATCATCATCATCATCATCATCATCATCATCATCATCATCATCATCATCATCATCATCATCATCATCATCATCATCTCATCATCATCATCATCATCATCATCATCATCATCATCATCATCATCATCATCATCATCATCATCATCATCATCATCATCATCATCATCATCATCATCATCATCATCATCATCATCATCATCATCATCATCATCATCATCATCATCATCATCATCATCATCATCATCATCATCATCATCATCATCATCATCATCATCATCATCATCATCATCATCATCATCATCATCATCATCATCATCATCATCATCATCATCATCATCATCATCATAGTAGTTCACCTGGTCACTTTCATTTGATTTCTATGCTTAGAACTTTCTACATCACTACACTACTGATGTAATATATAATAATATAGGCTGACTGACATTTATATTAAATTCTACTGAAAAGATCTTTGATTTCAATTAAACAACCTCTATAAATCATGGAATACTCACTGGCAGATCTTTCAAACATCCTCAGTTCTTACAAAGAATTTCTTTAATTCCCGAGTACACTAATATAAAGGTAATTTACATTATCACAGAAATAATTATGACACCATTATTACTACTGATCGCATTAATAATAATATCAACAGTGGTAATAATGAATAGTTACGAAAGAAATCCGATTCATTCATTATTTTCTCTAAATCAATATAAAAACTTACTTATTTATGCCTGTTACATAAGCCGCTCACCAGCATTCTCCATCCAACTCTGTTTTGCAGAATCATTTCCAGTCGCTCCCAGTTTCCATTCATCTTTTTGATGTCTGCTTTAAGTTCCCGACTCAGTCCGTTCTTTAATCTTCCTCTTTTCCGTTTACCTTCAGTATTCCAAGATAGCACATTATGATGATTTCTATAATGTATGTCCTATCCACTCCCAGTATTTTTTCCTGAATTCCTCTTCAGTTGGAATCTGGTTTGTTCTACCCCACGGTGGACTGTTGCTGATGGTATCCGACCAACGAATATTGAATATATTGTGTAGACGATAGTTCATAAATATTTGTACGTTTTTGCTGATGGTTTTTAGTAGTTCTCCAAGTTTCAGCTCAGTACATTGGGACTCTCTTGACGTTTGTATTGAAGATTCTCACTTTGATATATACTGACATAGGTTTTGAGTTCCATAAATTCATCAGCTATAGGAACTCTGGCCTAATCGTTATAATAAGCTGAAATATAATAAAATGTAAAATGTGTATTGCTCAATAGCATTTGACTACATTCAATTACAGAAAAAATAGTCGTTTATTAAGTGATATTCATGTTCAGTGTCATAAATAATAGTGATGTTATCAGGAAGGCAGTCATCTGCAGATTGTAGTAGTTCAATAATTGAATTCATTAGTCGATTAAAGACCACAATGAAAAACCTGGAAGCACTGGACAACTGCTTCATCATAACACGAGGCTCCTCAGCAATGCGCATCCACTAATCCCGCTCGCTTGAGACAGCTATGAGGCAACGACTCACTGAAGACAATAGTGTATGGTGGCGCAATTTCGTGGCCATGAACACCGTTGGTTGTTGGCCCATGCAATACCGACAGGTCTTGAGTTCGAATCTCGCTAGCGGAATCCTGTATGCGCACTGATGAAAAGTCTTATAATAGGACGAAACAGCTATCCATTGCTTCCAGGTTTTAATGGCGATCTAACTTAGATCGACTCATGAATTCAACTATTAATATTGATGTACTATTTCATAATTAATTCCATGTTTAATTCCTAACCTCTTTCTACTGAATATATGTTGATTGATTAAATCTAAACAAAAGAAGCTCTTTTTAAGTAATTAATCATCATTCCGATTAAACTTGGCTATACTAACTATACTCATGAATTCTATACACTATATGTTGCTATAGAGTAATATATAATCGAACGAAACACAGTACTTATATTCTTATTCAATAGTATACTATAATTTCATAGGTTGATATGTTCAGATTATATTGTATTCTTTAATATAATGAATTTCCTTTTTACTTAAGAGTTTGGATTGAGTATATAGAACAATTGAAAAGAAGTAATAAGAATTCATGTCATTATTTTTGTTAATTCTCAATTTAACCGCTTACTACTGAAATATATTTTGTAAGTAATATTCTACTTTATCATTTATGTATTATATAAACCTTGTGTTGGTTCAATTCAGTTTACTTGTTTATTCAATCAAATAGTATGACTTACTTTAGATTGATTAGCGTAGAAGCTCAATGTTCTACTTATTTTGTGATACGTACTACTGATGTTGATAGATATAAGTAGTATGTATGTAGTTATGTTTGTAATTATTCACACTGTTATATAATATACACTTGTGGGCCAGAGTAATTTTATATTGGTTTTCAGGAGAACCGAAAACCATCCAGACTTTCACTTGACAACCCAAACAGTACAGGTCGATTCCGCAGTAGAACCCAGGACCCGTGTTTAGTCCTATATGCCAACTAGGAACTAACCAATTGCAGTCCTAAATAATATTAAGAAGCTACAAGTAAACAACGTTAAGTGAATTTAAAACTTCACCTCATTGCACAAACAGGTGGCTATGAAGACTCAGTAGCTAAGTAAATAACGCGATGGTGTTTGGAGCGAATGGTGCTGGGTTCGAGTCCAGGAGTGAATATCAACTCTGAGATGCAGGTCCATCCAGCTGATGAGTCCCAAATAGGCGAAACGCGCGTCAAACTGGATTCCACTACTAACCACTATCCATATAAAAAGGGCCACCTTTTTGTTATATATTCAAACTACTGTTTTAATCAATAAGTAGGCACTTGAATAATGTAAAAATGTTTCTCATGTATCAAGATAATTACATCTGTCTCGTGTGTAGACATCGATTAGTGTTTTTTCAAAAAGAGAAGCATTTGAAAAGGAAAGTGCAAACGCATACCATATGTCTTTCTCCGTCCTTCAAAACCACTATTTCAATATAATGTAAAAGGATAAAACTATTTGTTTATAGATTCTATGTAATATGTAACAGAAATGAGATGATGAAATTCTTCTTTAAAACTAAATGCATTCGTTCTATACACATCAAACAATCTGGTCACACAATTTCAAGTCACCATTAAGAAGATTGAAATGAATCCGGAGAAAACCAATCACGATCAAAATGAAGTCTAATGACAAGTTTCATCAATGTTTCTTCTTGAAAAGGGAGGTATCGTAAGAAATGATTTAACTGTGAAGTAAAAACTTTTGAAGCAAGGATTTCATTGTTATATATTGATTGCATCTTATTGAACGTTTTGGTTTCATTATCTTCTTATAGTCATAGCTCTAAGCTTTTATTTGAACCGTGATTTGTTGCTATAGTGTCTTTCATTCAATTATTTGTGTACCCAGTATTCCATCTTCCCATCATCAATGTTGTTGTTTCGTGTTAATACTGTTAACTAATCTGATTATTATTCTGGTCTTGTTTGTATATAAGTAAACGTCTGAAATAATAATAAGGATCCTGGACTGGTGAACATTGGTCTTGCGTCCTTCCTCTTCGCTCGAGTAAATATTTGGTTAATCGTCAGGCATAGAGTATCAGTCTTTCAAGTTCTTTCTGTTTACTAGTTGCTTTAGGTTGTCTATGCGTATTGGTTGTATGTAGAACTTAACAAATACCATCATGGAGTCAGTCAAAAGGTGGATTTCAGTCATATCTTTTACTTTTTTTTCTTCTATCGTTTGTCTCATCAGTTTCACTGAAAGTACTGTGGCTTGGATTTCAAGACGAGGAACACGAACAAATTTTGGGGGATCTATTCTAGATTTGCCAAGGATGCACCTGCATCTCTTTCTCCTTATATCATACTCCAATATCATATAAGCTACAGCTTCATAATCGCTTTCTGAAGTATATGGAAACAACTGTAATGACATCCTTTTTTACTACATGGGTCAGTATTCAAAACATCGTAGAATCCTTGACGCTTTGGCACCTGTAATTTCCTACAACCGAATTTCCCAGTATAAGCGCAAATCTCTATCAATCATCTCATCTCATCCGCGGTTTTTAGGACACAGCTTTTGCAGAATCTGTTTAAACGTAAGTGATAGTGGTGCTAGGAACCCAAGTAAATCATACAATGATGCTGAATATGATAGGATACCCCTCTTAGTAAGTAGGATCATTCAGATAGCCTATTGCTGATAAGAAAACAGAGTCTAATCTTCAAAAGATCTTATGGAGTGCTTATAAATTCCCTTAGGAATGGATTATAAATGAAGTGGAATCCTATCACCAATGAAAGTCATAATCACCACTGACACCACTCATCCTTTTTGCGTGTGTAATAACTACACTACTTACTAATAATCAGTAACTTATATCGTTGCCGATCATTTTTCAGCATGTGGCTTCACATCACATGTTTTCATGAATCTGTGACGTTTAACACATTTATAGAGGTAATTGTATTCTGCTGAAATTTGTATCAGTTATTGTTATTTCTTATATGTTCTTTAAACGCTTGTTTATGGGTAACAGTTTTCATTATCTTGTGTACGTAATGTTCGTTTCGATTTGTTATGTAGCGTGGAGTCGAGTCGCGATTGACTATGAACACCAACACAAGAAGACTACGTCCCAGTTAACCGATAAAATCCCCCGTAAGTCAAATATCAGAAGGCAGTTGATGGCTGTGGTCGAGATGTATTTGTTGGCGATCTTGTGGTATTGAAAGAATACCGAGATAGTGCCAAAGAAGTACAAGTGTGGTTACCGAGCGTAACCGAACCAGTGCAAGGTCACAATCGGAAGATAAAGGAGCGGTAATATGGCTGTCTTTAGCACAGTTAAAAAACGACCACAGTAAAACGATCACTGGTACAATTGGTTATAATAATGATTGTTTCTATTAAATCAATCGCGTTCTCTTGATAAAAGTAGGTCACTACAGTTACATGCCATTGTTGAATTTAACACAACTACTAAGTGTTACTTAATTTATAGTGCTTTTGGTAAACAGTTCTTGTATGACTATTGTAAGATACGCTTTTCTGATTATTCTTTGACCTATTTAGTCGTCTTAGGTCACTCAGAAATCGTGATTTGTAAAATATATCACTTATGTAATCATGAGTAGTAGTACCGTTTTAAAGATGAATTCTCTTGGCATTTTCGCATAATTCATTCGTTCAGTTTCAATTCGCGAGCACATTTTTGACGATCATTGCGTTCTATTAACATTAAAATATCATAAAGTTTAGTGTACAAAGTAACTAATTTATCAAATACACATTTGTGTACTTGAAGTTGCGCAACACTTTTTTAAGTATTAATGATACTTTTCAAGTGACAAGATGTGATATCGGTGAAGCTAAACGAAGATGGAAGT